TGTCACGTTTGCCATTTGTTATAACACCCCCCAAAAAAAGTATAACTTTCACACTATATAGAGTTGCTATAGTTTGATTCTTTTATAGTATGACAATTTAATAAAGTTTAAAAGTTTTGTAAATAAGCAAAATTATTTACATTCTATGAATGGAAAACTGTGATCATGTATTTGGGAAATGATATTTAATCTATTTCTTCAACAAATAGAAATTCTATTGCGCAGGAATAATAACAACAACGAAGATTATTGTCTTTCTTTTTGTCATCTTGATAAAAATAGTTTAAAATATCGAATCCATGATTTACTCTTACTGTAAACTATCTCATATTTTATTTACAAAGTCCAGTCAATGTTGGGTCCAAAACAGAAGAGATCGTTAATCAATAGCTATGGTCCTTGATATCATTTGTTATTCTTCACATACAACGTTTTTCGATGAATTATCATTATTTTCCAGTGAACAGTATATATCAATGTAGTAACGATAGAATGAAACAAAATGTTTAACATACAATTAACTACTCATAAAGAAAAAGAACAATTTCTAACTAAGAAATGTACGACGACACTCATGTATCTTACTTATCCTTTTTTTCAGTCATTTTTTAGTATGCACCTCTTGTTTATATTAAGACGATTTTAACTTTGAAAAAGAATTATCCAAAGCTATATAAAACTAAGATAAAGAGAAATTTATATCACGTCTATAAGGATGTCTGTCTCTCTGCGAGTGGTATCAGCACTTCATTTAGCCTTCAATTAGCTATAATATAACAATAAACATTGTGTCATTATTATCAAATATTTTTAAATATTCTTTTTTCATAACAGGTATCTAAATAGAAACTCTTATCTTTGACTAGATAAATAATATTTATGTTCCATATCTTCATGTATAATAATTGTGATGGGTCATTTAACGATAATAATAATAATAATAATAGTGATCATACGTACATTTCGTCATATTGCGTTGATATCTCTATCTACATTCACTCACAAATAATAAGTTAGAATATAGTCATATACATATGTGTATGAACAAAAATACTTAAGAATATCGTCGTGCAATTTGATATGGAAAATCATAGTTCATATTAATGACAGATGTGTATAGTACCTGCTCTTTCATATTTTGTTCTTTTCTAAGAAAGAAAAAAAAACAGCAAAAAAAGATACAACAGAGATTATATTACAATTTCTTTCTCTACAAAGTCGTTAGATAAATTGTACAATTTACGCGTAATAGCGATTGTCTATAATGGAAATAGTTGCGATTGGGATCAAATAGTGGCCATTATTGAAATGCTATTTTAATACTTTAAATATAAATGATTTATATTTGACATAACGGGACAGCAGATAGCATTATAGATCTATTCTAGAATTTTGTTTCATATTTCTGAATTTTAACTAAATATAATTTTTCCAAAACTATATCAAAAGGCAAAAGTTCGATTGTAGCATTTTACGAAAAGTAAAATAGTATAGTTAAAAACCTGAAATATATATATAAACAGGCCATTAATTTTTTTGTAAAATGATCATTTTTCTTGAGCGCTTTTAGATCCCAAAATTAACAACGTTTTAATTCCTAAAATTTATACTTTTTTGTACAATCAACAACTATCCATCCATTCCTAATTAGCAGACAAGTTTCGATGAACTGATTGTTCAAGCAAGAGAAAAATTCCTTGTGATTTGGAGAAAACAATCAGCGTCATACATATAACCGTAGTGGTAGTAAACAGTGAAGACTGCATGTCAGTTTCTGGTATTGATAAAAAGTCACAAATTGGCGTAAAAACAGGCATTTAACAATGGTGTGAATTTGAGTCTCGAGTATGTACAATTGAGGGCTCTTTATAGTCCAACATTAATGTTGTAAAAATGGACGTAAATGATGACCGTTAAAACGCTAATTTTATCTCTAGTATTAACAAGTCATTAATATATAAGAAAATATCAGTTATATTTGACCTGTTAACGGATACACACTAATTTTTAAATTCTTACACAATACAAAATTCTAAAATATTTATTTATAACTCAGCAAATCCTCGAAATACCAAAGGCAGTGTTGAACACATTTAAATACAAACCAAAAACACAAATCAATTACTCTCCAAAGATGAGTAAGCTGCAATACATACAGACTAATCGTTTAACAATTGATCGTTTAATAATAGTTCGAAAGTCAAAACTTTATATAAAATCAACAAAATTAGTGCAGTCTTTTCAGTTCGCAATACTTGTCATTATACCAAAAAAGAATAACAGTAAAAGTGTCTAAAAACAGTTGTTTCCTAATTTGTATCTGATACATGCGCTTATTGTATTCTGACGCTTTTTTGTCAGTTATTTTGTTTATATATTCTTTTATCAAACTATATACATCAAAGACCGCTTTCCGTCACTGTTCTAAGTGCATATATGCATACTATAATGACACATAACCTTTTCTTTGCCGTTCATTGATTGTCATTCAAATAATAAAAGAGTCATTATATGATGTAGGAAAGTGTACATTACATTACACGAATATTAATCGCATAAATTTTTGTCACCAGACTATTTATACTGTCATGAAGACTTCCGAAAATGTTTTTTATGATTATCATCTTCGATTAAAGTGTTAGTGAAATCAATAACGGACGAAAACGAAGTCAATTACAGACTGGCAGCACACACGTGTATTGTGTTTCAGACAAAAATATCTTAGTGGAGTTTGTTTGTGGCAAAAACTAAAAACCTATAATAAATTTGAAAACCGGATTTTTTGTGAACTGAAAAATAATTCATACTAAAGACAAAAGCTTTTTATAATTGTCAGGATTGTCCACCAGAGTTACCAAATGCGCTTTTCCCCCTTCCATGCGAGGAAAAGCCTCTCAGTTGAAGATTTGTCCTTAGTAGTAATCCGTCCCTCTAACTGTCCCTCACTTAGAAATATTCATCAAAATGACGAACATATTAGAGACATCTGTCCCTATTTTAGATATCTGTCCTACATTAGAATTGCTACAGTTGGCACCCCTGTGGGCGATTGTTGAACTATGGAAGACAAACAGCAACGTTGAATCAATATGCGATCATCTAAGACTCTCCTACTGAAACACAAGAAAAGACAAAAAATATTCTTACCGGTTTGTTATTAAATAATTAGAGCTTGGGAAAGATACATCATGCAGGACTCTCGAACTATCGGGAGAATAGAAGTTACTTGCAAAAATGTACATTCTAGCATTGGCGGGCCGCCAGCAGGGCAATTGCTCCTCCTGGAAAAAAATATCAATCCTAGTCGAGACTTCCGACAAAACTCCCACGGGACTTCTGCCAAGGGGTCCTGCGGGAGCCAGGTGGGACTCCTAAGGACTCCCGTGGAACTTTGAGGGCTTTCAGTGGTCTAGGAAGTCTCATAAGAGTTCCGGAATCCTTAGGAGCCCCATCTGACTCTCGCAGGATCCCGTGACAGGAGTCCCGTAGGAGTTTTGTCGTGAGTCTCGACTAGGGAAGGGTAATAATCAGTTGTTGCCTGTGAAGAATTGTATTTCGGTGCAGAGTATCGGTGTGAAGTTCAAAATAAAGAAAGAGCAATTCTTGATCGAAAAATTTGATGTACAGTTTAAATGAAGGAAAAGTGTGTTAGCACGGACAAAAATTATGAAGGGAAGCACATTTGTGTACGCACTACTCTCTCCCAGCCCACCCATGCATTCTAGTCTGTGCAATGAGAAATTATTTACCTTATTTGCAAAAGTTTAAATTAAATAGACTCATGATATGACGCTATATTACAGATTGGGACGTCGCGACATCTAGAAAAGTCGAGTGGTCAGTAGGTTTAAATTGGTCAAGATAACCTTTCATTAAGCGTCAGTGTCAACGTAAATCGCATTGCTGTTGGCGCTAAATTAAAGAAATTTTAATGAAAGCCTATCTTGAACAATTAGAGCAATGCTTTGATTTTCAGTAAGACTAAGAGTATGAATAAATGCTATCTTCCCCTCCACACCATACATCTACTACGTTTCTATGACTCCTTCTTCCATAACGCGCGTACTCACGAAACGAAAAGAAAGAAAAAAAGAAACGGTCGAGTTATGATAGAACTAGATTCAGGCTGAGGACCGCATTCTCAAAGTTCTTAACTTCAAAGCGATCTGAATGATTTCAGAATGGCAATCATTAATCTAAGTGTCCGTTATATTTATACCAATACCTCTCAAAAGAAGATATAATCCTTAGTCTATACAGTCATATTACTGTACATTAACACGAGTGCGTAGGTTTTTCCAGGACGCTTTCAGGTTTTTTAGTTAACCGCGATCTCTCATATCGCAAACGTTCTTCAACAACGCATGGCAAAATTTGGATGAAAAACAAATGATAGTAACAAATCTCTTTTCAAATATTTCTGAAAAATTTCTGTAACATCCACTGCTTGGAGTGAGGTATTAGTATAAATGTAACTGACAGTCATTACCATTCTACAATTACTCCGGTGCAGTCTGAGACGATGCAGCCCAGGCCTGAATTTTGTGAATAATGGACTCTCCTTCTGCATAGTGGTCGCTTCAAGGAAACTAGAACGTTTCCATAAAGAAAACATCAGATGAGAAAACCTCTAGGCTAATTGATCGAAAAAAATGTTATTATGCTTGTTTTTCGTATTTCTGGATTGAACTGACACAGAAGGGACAATTAGTTGTTCTCTTTAATGCTATTTTATTTGTATTTATTTCATCGTTACTTTATTTTTACGTTATACACTATAGTTTCTTTTCTTTTTTTTCTTTTTTTTTCTTCTGCTTTTTATTTCATTTTTGTAGTTTGACTCGAGTCATTGATATTAAATGTCGGGGACCTTTGATGATTCTCACTTTTCGTGAATAAACTAGTCTTAGTCTTAAAATGGTTCTTTGAGACAAGTTTGTGTTAGCAGGGTACATAGGAAACGTTTTATTTACTATCTTGTTGTCTTCAGCTTAAAAAAAATGGTTCAGTATTGGCATATGGCTGATGAAATCGATAACGAATATGACCAATACCAGAGCAAATTGAGGAATAAGAATGAGAATAAAAATGATGTCTTGTGTGCATTGCATCAAGCGCGAATATTGAGAGAAAGATGGCGTTATTGGAATGGAAAAGTGCCATCCAATGTCAGTGTAAGTCACGTAAATGATAATCAAATATTTAGATATACGAATATATTCATTTTAGGTTCGTTTACATCGTTTGGAGTCGTTATTGATTACGTCAACTGAAGCGAAAAAGAACGTTAATCTTCAACGATCCCAAACTTTTATCGTACCATTATCTAATGCTCCTGACCCAAATTCAAATGAGATAAGAAAAATAACACGCAATTCAGAACCACCCTCCAAGCGTCACTTTTTGGAAACAGGTAATTATATGCTATCTATAAACTAAAACTTTCTTCAATTTTCGACTGTATGAGATAGAATTTATCTGTTTTGTAAGGAAAAATACCGAAAACAGTTGCCAGCACCGTGATCATATGTATGGTGTACATCACACCTACTTTTTGCTATTTAATCATGCTCTCAGTGGAAAAGCTTTCTTCCGAATTGTTGAGGAAAAAATCTGGCTAGAAGATTATAGCAGCAAACAGAAAACGCATTCTTCCAAAAGTTCTTGCCGTACCTCCAAAAAACTTACCTCACACCTGCTTCTTTTTAACAGCATTTACTTTTTACTCTAGCTTCATCACAAACCATGCCGTTAACGACTGAAAATGATTGTCATGAACAGATTGTTGGAGAAACAAATCACAATTATGTATCAACTAGTGTATTTGATGCTCTTAAGTCACGAAATAAACAACAATATCAGCCATGCGAAGAAAAACAACTGAATATAACAAGTTTACTCGATTCATCCGAACCATTTCTGAGTGATTCAACATCGACACATGACATAACATTATTATCAGGGAAAAGTGACCAACAACATTATCAACAGCAACAACAATATCAGTCGTTACCACAATCTCAAACATCATTGGACAAATATTTTTTATCGAAAATAAAACCAACACAAAATATTGTTTTACAAGGTCCACAATTAGATATTCATAGTTCGAATTACAAGCGTTCGCCAAATAAAAGTAAACATGTGTGGTCATGGTGTAATTGTTGTACAGCTAAAATGTCATAAAAAGACTTTATCATGTAATTACACTTTTTTTCATATTGTGGTTTACTTCGTCCTGAATTAACCTTGATTATTATACATTTGAACAGATATATGATTACCCTTATTTTTACTTTTAAATAAATCCTCGTTTGAGACAAACTGAATCATTTTTCAAAGTTATTTCCGACCGGCTGGGTCAAGGATACTATTCAAAAGAAAAGATTCGATTTTAAATTGTAAGTTCATTTCCCAAAAAAAACTTGTTGACGCATTTTTATCTTTTTATTAGATTCTGTCGTTTTTTGTTATAATTGACAGTGAAAAGTAATATTTACGTGAAAAAAAATTAAACGAATCAGTGGCGTTGAACGACATTTATATGTCAAAAGAAAAAAATATAACTGTTGGGTTAAATACTATATGAATTATCAAATGATGATTTTATAAATTGCAAACTAATTTTGATGAATTTTTCACATTTCAATTACTATTAATCATATATAACATGCAATACTAATTAACTCTTTAACAAAGGAATGTGTGACTTAAACTATAATGACAGAATAATATGAGATACGCATGATTAAATTCGCTAACGTCTGTAACGCCTGAAGTTAGGCGAACAATTCTATTTTCAGGTTTTCTTCTCATCGGCGAGCATCTATCTGTAGCGAGTACTTTTTTTCAATATGCGCTATTTGATCTGTACATGATAACGATGATAAAAACATAATTATTCTATACTATAGTAAGTGAAATTGAGAAATTGGATATTTTGACATGGTGCATGGTGCGACTAAACTAAGAAATTAAACACTATCCAGCTTTTTTGAGTCAGCGCGCGTTGAAACGCGTTAGTTTGGACAGGTAACGCGTTTTGACGCATTTTTGGTGAAAGTGAACGCGTTAGTGTACTATAAACGCATCGAAACGCGTTTAAATCTAACACGTTCTGACGCGTTGGAGAAAACGGATGCGTTAATTACCAACGCGTTTAGCAGGACCATTATTTGGTAATCTAACGCGTTTTTATGCGTTATTTTCTGCTACGTTTTAATTTTTTTTCAAAGTATATCATAAAAGATGAAGTAAGAAGACCATTTAACTTTAAAATCTTCTTCTGACATAGGATAACCGAAACAGCACGAATACAAAAAAAAGAAAATAACAATGCGACCTGTATTAGCAGATTTATTCACGTTCAACAGCTAGACGAATGACAGAGTAGAAACATCCTGTCTTAGTTTAAGTTTCAGAATGATATAATGGGAATTTGTATTCTCGATTTCATTCTGGTTCAAGATTAAAGCTTAAACCAAAAACAAAATACAAAAGTCACGAAAAAAATATATACATTGAAGGATAACATCGAGTCATTGCACAACTTCAATCATTGTGCAGAATAGATAGGAAAGAACAGCGAAGTTGATTTTTGCAGTTCGTCTGCAAAGATAGAGTTCGTGTGTTCGATTCTAGCTTCGCGCAAGGATTGATTTGTGTTTTGATAGTTTAAGTTTCAGAATGATATAATGGGAATTTATATTCTCGATTTCATTCTGGTTCAAGATCAAAGCTTAAACCAACATCCTGTCTCAAAAAAGTCACTTACATCTAGTGAGTTTCTCAATAAAATGCAACTCAGTATCAGAGTTCACCTTTAAACAGAAGGATGAGGTAGGGAGTTATCGACCTAACAGACAGACTATTTCATTTCTCGCACACACATAGTTAGGTATGAGAAAAGAGATGATTGTCTGCGGAATTACTTTATTTTGAGCGAAAAGATTTGTTTACTATATAAATGAAACTTAGAAGTCATAGAATAAAGCATTTTGTCTGACTGAGATGATCGAAACACATAGCACTGTTACTGTACATATTTCGATCGTCTGTTAGCTCAGATAGTTACGTGTTTGCTTCTTAATTCTGGGTACCCCCGTTCGAATCGCACTGAAGTCATGTAAGTACAAGTTGTTTTCTTTCTCTATTTCGTCACTCTACTGGGTTATATAGTCGTTTGTATGCATATCTATGCATCCAGACATGTACCAGAATTTAATCTGATGCTGAATTTTATTTTTTTTCATTTTAATTGATTTTCAACCAATACAAACGTGTTTCAACGGTCAAAATGCATCCTGATAAACGCGTTAGAAATTAACGCACATCAACGCGTTTTTTGCCAGAAAAAGTTTGCGTGGGTATAGGCTGAATAATCGGTGCCAGGGGACCATCCCTAAAACAAGCTTAGAAGCAACAAAACACTCTTTTCTTCCGCGCACATGTATCGAGTGGGGAACCTCTTGCCGCGATCCGTGATATCCCAGTTTGCCATAGGAGCATTTAGGCGAAGGCTTAGACTGTATTTAAATATGTAGTCCTTACAATGGTAATTAGAACATGTAATCTCCGTTTCAAGTTTTTTCTTTTTATGTGCAACATTCCCTTGGTGTTTTTTTTTTAATCTTTTCCTTATATAGGAGTTACATTAGTTTAAACTATATTTATTATAAGATAAACTTCTTGACACTCCCTGCTAAATCGGCTCGCCATTGTATAGCAAGAAGTGCAAGTCCACGATGTCATACGTTACCAATGACAAATTAAAATGAAAAATAAAAGTGGAAGTAGAAACAATAAGTAAACAATGAACTAGAAGAAAACTAACCATAAAATAAAAAATGTTTATGAAAGTCAGAGAATGACTTTAGTTGCAAAATAAGGAGTAAGTAAGAAGAAGAGAACTGAGGAGTAGAAAGGAAATGTTGTTCATTCGAAACGTTTTGTTTCGCAAATATAATCTATTATTATTTTATAAAGGTCTTGATAAAATTGATGAGGGAAGATTTTCCGTAGGAGTAATGTTTCAATATCGATGTCGACAGTCGAGTCACGATATTTTATTCTATCGAAAAGTCTCAGTCTAACTAAATGGTAAATTGGACATGAAAGAAAGAAATGCTCGACTGTTTCACTTTGAAAACAGTCACAAAGATCATCGCCTGGGTTTTTTAAAATATGTCGTCTCGATAAGTCGAATCTCAATGTTGAAAAGTCACAACGCATTTGATAGAACGCGATATCAGCAATTCTATTCATTCCTGTCGTTACTCTTACTTCTGGTGTTAGTTCTAAGAACTTCGATAATAATTGTGTAAAAGACGTTAGTTTATGTATTTGACGTATTAAGTTTCCCTTTTTTGTCACAGCCTAGACACATTCGTGTTCAAGTAAAAAACCTATTGATTGATTGATTAGTAAATGAAAAGATAAAATTGAAGAATGACAATACGACTTTACAAAATTGTCAAACACTTCCCTATCAATTTCACCAAAACTGATCCATCAATAATCTTTTTCTGATACCGATGGCCACCTATCTAAGCTGTATTTTTATATAGTCTCATGCGTTTGAAACCAGTCAATATATTATACAAAGAATAAGTGAATATATGGAAAAAATCGTGTGACGCATTTATAAGACTCCTTTTCTGTTTTTGTACGCTTATATTATATACACATATTAAGAGAGGTTTGGACTGCGCACGTAAACGATGCCATCCGTAGATTCGTCCCACTGGTGCCAGTTCGTACTCTGTCTTCTCTTCTCTCGCCTTCTCCAAAACTTGCACATCTTATCTCTATCCGTAATCAGCGTTTTCGTAAACTTAAACGTCGTTACACTTCTCTTAACCTTGCTGAGTTCCGTAAAGCAAGAAATCTTGTCCTTTCTCTCTATCGACGTGAAAAATCTTCTTACTTCCGATCTCTCTCTTTCTTATTTTCTCATCCTCGCAAGTTTTCGAGCTCTATTAAGAAACTATCCTCTTCTCACTCCACTTTACCTCAGTCAAATCTGTTTCCACAGATGCGGATAAAGCTGAACTTTTCAATTCTCATTTTTCCTCTTGTTATTCTTCCCTTCAGGGACAAATTCCTCCCTCTATCACTCCAGACTTGCCAACGATGGATAAACATCTTGACTTCTCCATACGAGACGTTGAGCGTTTACTTCAGAAATTGGATAAAAAGTCTACTGTTAGTATTGATGGAATTCCTTCTTCCTTCCTCTCTTCTTGTGCTGATATTCTCTCACCTCACCTTCACTTCATTTTTCATCTGTGTCTTTCTAATTTTCCAACTTTGTGGAAAACTGCATTCATTGTACCTGTTCATAAAAAAGGCGCTCTTGCTGATATTTCTAACTATCGCCCTATTTCACTTCTTCCTGTTGTTTCTAAAGTTTTTGAACGTCTAATTTATAATTTTATTTTTTCTCACCTCTCTAAACACTCTTTTTTTGTAAACAAACAGTTCGGCTTTCGTCCTAAACATTCGACTCTGGATGCTTTGTTGTTTTTATCTTCAACCGTCTTAACTTTTGAAATGCTGGTGTAAAGTGTGTTGGCGTATCTTTTGATTTTTCTAAAGCATTTGACTCTGTTCCTCATTCTCTCTTGTTAGAAAAACTTTCTCGTTGTGGTGTGTGTGATTCTTTGTTCTCCCTTCTATCTTGTTATCTTTCGAACCGTTCTCAGTGTGTGCGTGTGAATGATTCTGTCTCTTTTTCTTCTCCTGTTCCGGTGTTTCTCAAGGCAGTGTGCTTGGGTCTCTTTTATTCCTTATTTTTATTAGCGATCAACCTCTGTCGCTTCCACCTAATTGTGAAATCTGTGCGTGATTTTAGCGATTAATCGCAATTAATTGACGATTTTTTTCTGGATACTAGGTTCGAACCCATCTTCGGAAATACATTTTTTTCTGTTTTTTCATTGTTTATTACGTGTAATGACATGTACGTCACACAGCAATGGTCTTAGCACCAGCTGGCGTCGAAGTCTTGCCGACGAGTCAGCTTTAAACATTGCCCACATACCAGCTGTTCAGTGGGGTTCTCGGTTTAAAGCTCTGAGGAACGATAGAGAAGACTCTTGACAACTCCGTTGTATTCTAAAATAAAAAGATAATCTAAATATAAGTGTATTTTTCGCTGAAATCGTGTTTCTTATGTACAAACTTTATTGGAAAAGAAAACGGTGAATAACACCAACCATTTAATCACTTAAAATCAACAATTAATCGCAATTAATTGATGATTTTCGTGATTAATCGCGATGGTTGACAAAGTCATCGATTAATCGCGATGCACGAAAAAATTATCACTTAATCGCGATTAAATGACCATTTTTTCCCGAATCGCGATTGAGCGTCGATTTTTTCAACCATCGCGATTAATCGACAAAAATTAAGCGATTTTCAGCCCATGGGATTACTGTTGCTTGTCGGCGCAAGCTTGGAGCATTGAATCGTGTCTTTGGATTAGCTCCAACTGAAGTTCGGCGTCGAATCTATCTTTCTTCTATTCTTCCTAAAGTTGACTATTGCTGTGCCTTGTATGACAGTTCGTTTTCTCCTACTGGTCTTGATTCTGTAAACAAACTTGCTTCTCGTGTTATTTCTCGCAATTTTGACTATCGTTCTTCTAGTTCTCTACTTGTGTCTCAACTTTCTCTTCCAAATCTCACTCTTCGTCGTAAATACTTTAGAAGTCTACAGCTTTTCAAAATTTATCATCATCTAAGTCCTGTTTCTCTTTTTTATAGTATTCATCGTCCTCACTACTCATCTTTACGCCTTCATCATTCTAAATATGTTCGCATTTCATCTTCTGTTGATGGTTATTCTCCGCAAACGGTGCATTCTTCTTTTTTTGATTCAACTATTGCTGACTGGAATAATCTCCCAGCGTCAGTTATTTGTCTTTCTTCATTAACGTCTTTCAAAACAGCTTTAAGTCAGTATCTCTTCCAGTGAAACATTTGTCAGTTAAGAATTTCTATTTGTTCTTTTTTTTACTATTTCTGGTTCTAACCTTAGTTGTCTTATTTATTTTGTTATTTTTTATTACTCTTTTTGTGTTGTTTGGCTTGAGTCATTTATTAGAGGTCAGTGACCTTTGATGACTCTCTCACTTTTCGTGAATAAAACAGCCTTAGTCTCTCCTAGTCTTCTGTTGTAAACAGATGACTTTCTGACAAAACAACATATCTTTATACTTTTGTGTGAATCCAAATTTGTTAGACGATCTTTCACAAGTTATCTTGCGATGGATTGACTGGATATCATTGTCTCGAAGCTATCAGCCTCACTTACTCAATAGTAGTGGTGAGCTAGAATTAAGTATAGATATTGCACAGTACTCACAGTGTAATGGTAATTTCTCACACAATTATTATTCGAATTAAATTTACTCTCTCCTGCTCAAAATGACTGTTATCACTCATGTCATATTATGCCCTTTACCTTTATAAAACATCTTTTTTTTTCCTATATTTTCCATTACGATACAGGACTAGATTTGTTTAGATTTTTGCTTTTGAAATAGGACGAAGTCTCTAATAGAAATTAATTTTTTATGCATGATCAGGTTCAATCATGATTAGATTGAACGTGTTGTGTAAATGTGGTAAATGTTATTTAGTAGTCTAAACTGCTGAAACGATGTCTTTTAATTTGTACACTTTTGTTGCATTAGAAAAATGCAATTGATTGGAGAAAAGTTTTAGAAAACTTTAGTTTAAAATTAGGCCTATAGAGCTAACTCCTATTTCTGAATCTCTCTCTTTGAATTCTTGCTATCATCAAAGAAATATGCACCTTCTATAATGTAGAATAGTTATATCTTTGTAACGTTAGCTACAATCCAAAAATGAACAACATTGAGAAATATGAAGGTAGGTCGAAACTTCCTATGTCTTCAAAATCGGAAAGAACAGGTTGATTAACTTGCCAATTAAGCGCGATTATTGCTGAAATCGCGCATTTTTTTAGAAAAATCGATGATTACTTGAAATTTGAGCAATAATCGCGATTAAAAGAGAGACGATTAATCGGCTGATTAAGTGCACTTAATCAGCCATTTCTTTCGGATTTTGATGACATGGGTTACATCCGATCAGTTGCATTTTTCCAATGCAACAAAAGTGCACAATGCAGAAGTGCCAATGCAAAAGTGCATTATTTCAGCAGTCTACGGACAGGACTATAGGAGGAAAAAACAACTTTTATTTTTAGTTAATTTTGATGATTCTTAGTATCTTCCAAAAGAAAAAGTAAGGTAAGTCATGTGCAGTTGCTATTTGAGACATTAAATCCATGACGTACCCCTTATCAAGGACATGCATTAAACGCGTAAATATTTTGCAGACGGTGATTCGCTAAGAAGCGCCAATAGAATTACTATGCTTTCTGAGAAAATTGATTAATCAATTAATAGCAGTTTATTACGTTTTTCCGATCTACTATTTTATTGTGTTCTTCGACGTATATGCTAAAAAACTGAAAGTTAGATTTTGGATCTATTCATAAGCACTCTTAATGACCTAAGTCAACGTTTACTTTCTGTTCCTTAGTCGTTCTACAGCAGTGACTTAAGACTATTCTGGGCATTTTTTGAATCAATATCTAATAACTGAACATGATGTTGCCGAGAGTTAGACATAATTCAAAATGAAACCTTGAATTACCACTCAAGTTTTTAGATGAAACATCAGGATCTAAGTCTTAACTAAGATTAAATCAAGTTTATAATAAAAGACTATGATAGAAAATCGACAAGCAGTATAACTGATAGATTTGTTTTAAGGGGCATGATTTTTTTCTTGCTGTTTTTTCAGAATCCAGAAAGCCAAGCCAGTTAAAAAAACCATTCGCAACGAACTCATGAATCTGTTTCGTTTTTCTTCGAATTTATCTGTTTTGTCCCATCGGACAGATGGATCGACGTTTGAGACTGCTACGCAGGACTCTATTTGACACAGCTTCATCAATGACGCTTCGAGTCGCCAATTGAAATTTTTCAATATCAATAACAAAGCATTCAAAAAAAGAAAATCCAGAAAAAAATATAAGAACAATCAAAATACCTGTGTGTGTGTGTTGAAAGACACTGTAGTAATTTTAGATCTTAGCTTGTTTTCGCGGTTTGAGTTTTCTTCATTTACTACGTGTTTTTATTTGTTTTTTTCTCAAGAGGAAAAAGAAGTTTTATAAAAGGTCTTTGATGTTTATCTTTGTTACAGTTCATACATGTGAGTGAAGTATGATTCGAAAAAGTAAACTTAACATATTTAAACAACAACACATGGAAACTGCAGAATTTAGAATAGACCATGAAGAATTTTTTTGAGATGGACTTTTTTTATAAAGTCTAACTTCAAAATCCTTGGTGAAATAAATACCTTTGTTCATTTAAAATAAATTTACTGTGCATTTTAACTGAAACTAACGTTAGATTTTCACCAGTTTATCTTAAATAGTAAAATCATGGTCGTTAACAATGCGTTTGTATTTTTTTTCTTTCATAGTCTCTCGTTCACATTATCTTTGTAGGATGAATCGTCGATGCTAATCAATGTTTTACTGTCATATATTACACAAATTTTGTTGGAGAAGTTGCCAGTCAAATGAAGAACTAGATAATACGGTTTTTTATCTGTTTTATGGAACGAAATAAGATCTAATAATTTTCATAAAGGCTAGATGATCTGACATACGTGTTGTACAGTAGGTTGATTCTCGTAATAAAATATGGTGTTTCGGTTATCTTGTAAATCGCTTTTTTGTAATTCGGCTGAATGAGCCAAAAATAAGAAGAACTGACGGTTTATTGATAATTTGCAGCTGTCAGAAAATCAACAAAGCCGATGTTAATTGATGGTGTAAGACAATAGTCGCTGTCACGAAAAGTACAGAAAACTATCATGTTTTCTTGCAGTTATGTCTGTTTTGAAATAAAAACTTTTCTTTTCTTTTAATATTTGGCAAAATGAGATTATTAAATATTTCAAAGATTTAAAGGTATCTTCCCTCTTTTTTCACATTCTTGAAAATCGAGAGTGGAAGTCTGATTGAGTTCAAATTCGTACCAGAGATCGATATATTTCTGTCGAGAATTTTCTGACATATTTCTCTGTAGGTTTTCGTTGGAGTACATTATGACCCTCCAAAAATTTCATTCGATCGGATCAAAAATTTCACCATAAGTATCTGGATAATATCTAAGAACTGTAGTTTTCGTTTTTGAGCTTTCCTTCTCGAGATATAAAAAAGTGGTAAAAGCGGTAGATAGAATCTAAGATTTTAGTTTCGAAAATCCCGTAACTCGGAAAGAAATAATCAAAAATGAAAAGGAAAAATTACAGTTCTGAGATATTGTTCCAGGTACCTGTGATAAAATTTTGGATCCGATTGGATGAAGTTTTTGGAGGATCATAGTGTACTCCAACGAAAGCCTACAGAGCAATATGTCAGAAAATTCTGGACAAAAATATATCGATTTTCTATTACGATGTTCTGTCTCTGATATGAATTTGAACTCAATCAGACATCCGTTTGCGATTCTCAAGAAGGTGAAAAAAGAGGGCGGGTATCCCTAAGCTGTTATGGTGTTGTTAATGAAGTTAAAAACAGTAAATAGACGTTACAGTTCGTTATTATATGATCCTGTAGGTATTAAAATATCTTTAACATCATATGTAACCGAATATAATGGATGTCTCTCGTTTATTATTTACCATGTATTGGGACATTCAAATTACAAGTGAGCAATTTCTCTGATAATACACAATAAATACTTGTTGTTTTTTCTTTTTATTACTTTTCACTTCAATTTATCGATAGACGGTTGTTATTTATACTCATTTTCTTGCACTTCCTCATGAACTAGTATTACATATTCATTTTAAAACTATAGACAATGTTTTTTATATATTCTTCATATTTTTCTTATTTATATGTTCACTTAAAAAGCAGAACTGGTATTAAAAACACTCGAAAAAACTTAGCCAAAAATTCCAATACATCCAATTGTTTTTATTCGTCGTTTTGTTATTTTCACTCAGGCGATTTCAACCGAGTTTTTTTACACTTTATTTTAGTATTCTATTGTTTTAGATGCTCTCTTACATAAAAGATGCGTGTTGTTTGAGGATATTAAGAGGAGCCAGTTATGCAAATAACATTGTTATTCATCGTCCAGAAGTGTCATTGGATACATCAAGAATGGGTAAGACGAACAAAAATGAGGTTAAAATACATAATTTAAAACTCAAATTAATATTCTTATTTCTAGGACAGGATGTTGTTGTTGTTAAAAATGGGCGACGACTCTGTGGGACCGGCGGTGCAATTTCTAATGCACCCATAGTTCAAAATAAAGCTTACTTTGAAGTGAAATTGCAAACACAAGGTATGCTTGACTTGAGTTTAAAATGCAATAAAAAATGATTATAATTTTTCTAGGGGTCTGGGGTGTCGGTCTAGGAACTCGACGAGTAAATTTAAGTAAAGTTCCACTTGGCTATGATTCAGATAGTTGGATATTGCAACATTCAGGTGAAATCAAACATGATAGTAAATTATTAGGACAGATTAAAACGCCTATTGAAGAAGGTGATGTAATTGTAAGTATCTTGCCTTTCTTTGTCACATAGAAACCCAACCATTTCCTCTTTTCATTCAGGGTTTTGCTTATGATCATGAACTATTTCGTATATTTATAAATGGGCAAGAGCAAGAGCCTGCCGTGCGTATTTCAACTCGTACTACAGTATTTCCTGTGTTCTACGTTGACGAAGGTGCAATACTTGACATTCAGTTTGGAACATTTTATTATCCACCTCCTGAGGGAGGATTTGATCGTATTTTACTAGAAAAATCATTATTATAAACGTTAGTTATTAAGAATCAAGTTTAATGGAAGAAAAACAGTGAGATAACAATACAGTGTCATTATTTAAAACGTTAAATTTTATTATTCATTCATTACAGCTTTGTACATACGTTCATCCTCCATTGCTGTTGTATTTACAAAATGAGAATTTTTATCAATAACATTGTTATTATTAAAGAGCAACAATAGAAATAAAAACTTCAGTGCAATTGTGGCTGAAATATCCTTAATTTGGTCTAACATGATTAAGTGTTTATTAAAAATAAATAGAAAAAATTATTAGAATACGAATTTTCCACCCACCTATTTATACTGTCATTATCAAGTGAATATGTCGTACAGAGCGTTACACTGAATTAAAAACAAAACTAAACAGTATATATATATATATAATCTAAAAAATAGAGAGAGAGAAAAGGATCGATCTCTCTATTTCTTTGTTCATAACTACTCTAGAATTTTTATTTGTTGTTAATTGTACTCATTTTAGAATGCTCATTTTCTATTTTATTGGTTCGTTTCGTTGTTATTCATCAATTTCTTGTTTTGTTCTAGCTTCTTTTTATAAATGTGTCTGTAAAGATATTTCTTGGACATTTCTAAATAGACAACATTATATTACTAGTTTGTTATCTGACAAGTTGTATTTCCAGAATCAAAAATTTGATCTCAGTGTATGATTATCGATGCGACATTGTTCTGATGTACTTTAGTTATTAGTGGGAAGAATATCTGATTTCTGTCTCGGAATAAGATTAGCTTTTTTGTATGTAAATACAGATAACAAATAATTTTTATTTCATGCCTAAGCATATATTTTTAAACTCATTTTTTATTTAACCTTGTACAAAGACTGTCTTGTTGAATTCTCATCTGATTTTTATTTTTTTATTTTATTGAAAAAATATTAGTTTGACGAGTTTAATTCGACTGTACAAAATATAGAATATATAAATGTTTACAATATATAAACAAATATATAAATGTTTGAAAGAATAGAAAAAATCTTAAATCTAACACAAGGTCTATTACAAAACGACTGTGTCTTTCTTTAGATTTTTGTATTTTCATGTATCGATTACATATACGTCGTTGTTTGAGCACATTGATTGATTACACGACAAAAAATGAACCAATATTAGAATATCGACCGAACAGTAAAGAATGTTTAACATTGAAGAAAACATTAGACAAGTATTTATCAAAGACAACGCGTATTCCATGTATAATTGATGGAAAAGAAGTGTGGACAGACGATGTACAACGTCAAATTGTGCCATTTGATCATAAAACAACAATAGCTGAATATTGTTATGCTGATGAAAATGTACTACAAAAGGCTATTGATAGTACTTTAAAAAATAGAATCAAATGGGATATGTTACCAATTGAACAGCGTGCAAATATCTTTCTAAAAGTATGTTGGTTGATAAGTGAGGATTTATTAGAAAAAAATTTTATTTTATTATTACTTGTTTTTTAGGCAGCTGATCTTGCATCCACATCGTGGCGTTCAGATTTAATAGCGACAACAATGCTTGGACAAGGAAAAACAGTTTTTCAAGCGGAAATTGACGCGGCATGTGAATTAATTGATTTTTGGCGTTTTAATGTGCAATTTCTAGCTGATGCTCTGAAATATAAACCGATTAGTACAAGTGATTCTGATAACACATATTCTTATCGTGGACTGGAAGGTTTTGTTGCTGCGATAACGCCATTTAATTTCACGGCCATTGGTGGACATTTAGCTAGTGCACCAGCGATGATGGGTAACACTGTATTATTCAAACCATCTGATACGGCTATGTTATCCAGTTATACTGTCTTTAAAATATTACAAGAAGCGGGTCTTCCACCTGGCATCATCAATTTTGTTCCAGCTAATGGTCAAGTGTTTGGAAAAACAATCACAAAATCACCACATCTCGCAGCAATTAGTTTTACAGGATCTACAGCAACATTTAAAGTAAGGTCTCTTCAATTTATTAAACAATAAATGACCATATTTAATTACTTTAAGTATGCGTGGTAGTATAATAAACACTTTATGTACTTTGTTTTATAGACATTATGGAAATGGGTTAGTGAAAATCTTGATAATTATCGTTCCTTTCCACGATTAATTGGTGAGTGTGGTGGTAAAAATTTTCATCTTATTCATCCTTCTGCTGATCCAACAACGATTGTTTATGCTACAATACGTGCATCATTCGAGTATAGTGGTCAAAAATGTTCAGCATGCAGTCGTGTCTATTTACCACGTTCATTAGCTCGATCGTTTTTCGACGATATGAAAAACATTATGGATAATGAACTGAAAATAGCCTCCCCGTTAGAATTTGATACATTTTCAAGCGCTGTTATTGATAATAAATCATTTGATCGTATAAAATCTTATATTGATTATGCAAAATCATCATCATCATCAAAAATCATTGCTGGTGGATTGTGTGACAATCATAACGGTTATTATATACATCCAACTATGATTGAAACGAAAAATCCAAATGATAAATTGATGACAGAAGAGATATTTGGTCCCGTAGTGACTGTGTATGTTTATGATGATAAAAAATTCGATGAAATTGTTGATTTAGTTGATCACACATCATCCTTTGGATTAACTGGATCAATATTTTGTCAAGATAAAGCAGTATTGGAGAAAACAAAAGAACGTCTACTTCACTCGGTAGGCAATCTTTATTTGAACGATAAATCAACGGGCGCGGTTGTTAATCAACAACCATTTGGTGGAAGTCGTTCATCGGGAACAAATGATAAAGCTGGTGGACCACATTACATACTACGGTGGACATCACCTATATCAGTGAAAGATATGAAACAGCCACTGAATACATTCAAACATATTTCTATGGAAAAGTTATCAAAGAAGATATGATCTTTTTCTGTTTTTTTTTCTCTTTCTCATATGGATCTTAGCATTTCTTTCGTGATTTATTGTTGATCCTCATTTATCAAGTATATTTTTTTACTATAGTGCTTGTCTTTACGAATCTTTTTTAATTTTTATTCCACATTACGACTAAGTTGTTATATCTTCAAAATTCATTCTTGTTATAAAAAATGTTTTGTTATTTTTACATTCCAAAAACATTTGTTGTTTACTTATGCTTTTTTATGAGTATTTTTTTATTGTATGGTGAGAGGTTTTCTTCTATCACATTGACATGTAGACTTTTTGACTATTTTGCGCCATTTCCTGATTTTCAAAATAATAAATTGTTTCAGATTATCTATGCGATTCATAGATCAGATGAGTAAATAAGTAAATTTCCTGAATATAATAGATTTCATTACATACAACAGTGAGTTTTGAAAAACACTAGAAATACTCTGTTTGTGTTTCTAGAAGAAGCAGCATAGGATCAAGACTTTTTTCTATTAATTCTTAACATTTTACCTACAGATTCCTCAGTACTTTCTAGTGCACTCAGAAAAACTTTTGATTTTCTTTTTTGTATCTTCGTAGAAATGTGGTCAAAATTGAACAAAAAATAATCAGGAGTCTATACCTTAAAGGTGCTTTTTGAATTCTTTTTAAAAAGCTTTCTTATAGCAGAGATACTGAAGACCGTTGAAAAAGAGCTAAGTGTTTCATTTTTAGAAAACGGTGTAAAGAAAGTCTTTTAAAACAAAAATTCGAAAAAAGACCGCAGGATTATGGTCTCATATCTTTCGTAAAAATTTCAGTCTGGTACGATGAATTTTTCGAGGAATCATAATGTGATACATTGAAATACAATAAGGAAAAAATAGTTTTGAGAAAAGTTTAAAACAAAAATAAAGCACATTTTTTCAAGAAAAATTTAAAAATCAACACACCCATATTATTTTGTACACAAAGTGGTATACATATAGGTAATTGATCAGGTAGCATCCAGTGCACATGTACCAGCATGTGTCGATATCTTTTAACTTTAAAGGAGCGGCTCGCATAAGGTTAGTAATCGGTCGACTTCAATTTTTGCCTAAAAAGGGTTCTATGAGTAGCAGAAAAGTATTTTTATTCAATTTTAATCTTGCGTACTTTTGGTAACTAAAATACAAGTAATTTCTCGTCAGTAGGGCATCAATACAATAAAATAAAAGTCATTCCTCAGAGTTCAGCTATACGTTACGTTAAATGTGTTTTTCTCATGTTTCTTTCATGTAGACGATAAGGTAAATATATCATTGGATAGTCCCTAAAATTCTCTACTGACTGTGAGTAAAAACTGCAGTTAACTGCAGTGCTTTGATAGCAGTAGCACGCTTAGAATATAGGGTGTCCAGAAAGTCACTAAAGTTGCAGAAAATTTCAAAATCTTCATGACTCTTCAACCAAATGAGTTGAATTTTTTTCTGAAGGTAGAAGACAAATAGTAGTTTTTATTTATGAAGGAACGGTCCGTTTATAGGCATCAACTCGAC